CCAGAAAGGGGAGGAGGTAGGGCTGCCTTGTTCGATTGCACTTCCCTGCGGCTACTCACGGTATTTCCAGCTGCTTGAGCGATTTCTGTGGCCGCGTCTGCATTGGGGAGGGAGGCGGGAGCGACGGTTCCCTTCCCCTCTTTCCCGCCACACCCTCCAGGATCCCAACCGTGTTTTGCTCCCTAAGCCGTGGGCGTGGGGGAAGCCGCGGTCAATCCCAGCTGATCCGTAACCGTTCTTCTGCATCTTCTTCCAGCTTTGCTACGACTATAAGTTTGATTTTGAAGATGACCAGCACAAGATTCCATGTCACTGTGGAGCTGTAAACTGCCGAAAGTGGATGAACTAGAATGCATTCCTTGCTGTCTTTGAGGGTTGCTTGTCCCTAGGAAGAAGTGATTCACGTTTTTTGATTTTGTCGACAGAAAATTGTTGCCTTTTTTGAAGGGGGAGAAAGGAAAAAAAAAAAATCACTTCTGGACGTAAAGATTTCTACTCAAGTATTTAAAAAGAAGAAAAAAAAAAAAGAAAAAAAAGAAAAACAAGCACCAGAAGCAAGCCGGCAAAATCTGAAGCCAACTTTCCAGACACATGGAGGTTAAACTGAATTAACAGAATGGTCCAGCACTTTTGTTTTTGAGCTCACTAAGGAGAAACTGTTTAACTTGGGCAAAGAACCGATGGCCGACCTGCGGGAGTGCAGGGGGGCACATATGAATGTAAGACTGAAATCACCAGCGAAAGGGAGAAGTCCAAAGTGCTGGCCACAGCCTTATTTGATAAAGGGGCAGGCCCTCTAATTAAAGAAAAATTTTAAATAAAAGTAGACACCACTGAACAAGGAATGTACTGAAACGACTTCCTTAGGGATAGAGCTAAGGGAAAAAATAACTTGCACTAAAATACATTTAAATACTTGATTCCATGAGTCAGTTTATTGTAGTTTTTGATTTCTGTAAAATAAGAGAACCTTTTTGTATTTATTATTGAATAAGTGAATGAAGCTATTTTTAAAAAGAAAGTTAGAAGAAAGCCAAGCTGCTGCTGTTACCTGCAGAACTAACAAACTCTGTTACTTTGTACAAAAGTGTAAATATTTTGAGAAAGAAAAAAAATACAGTATAAAAATAGTTATTGACCAAATGCTACCAGACTCTGCAGCAGTTCGGGTGCTTATTATAAAACGTCAATAGGGATGTTACAATATGATCTCATGTGTTACCAGACACGCGATTGCAATTCCGGAATAACCAAAATCTCAGAGAGCGAGAGGGAGTTTTTTACGTTTCGAGCAGTCTCAACTGTGGTCTTATGCGAATTTTTTTAAGTAAAACCTTAAGCCTGGTTAAGGGCGTGTATATTACAACTTCGACTTTTGTAGATGTTCGGGAGTAATTTAGATTAATTTTATTTGTATTATATTGTTGCATCCCTATTTCTTAAGTCAGGTTTTTTGTGCTTACAATTTGTGATAACTGTGAATAACTGCTAAAACCACCCAAAATAGAGGCTGGACATTGTTTTTTTTCTCTTCAAAAGTAGTCCAGATTAGGTGACTGTTCAGCCTACATTAAATGATGTAAAGAGCATAGAGTCATGTAGTTGGAGCTTAAGTCTGATGCGATAGCCTTCTTAAAAGGAAAACAAGGAAAAAAAATTAGATGTAATTTGCTTGCAGCTGCAGGACTCTGGCAATAGGGGTTTGGAAAATGTAATTTAAAGATGTGTTTGTATGGATTGTTTTTGTTTACATTTCTTTAAAAAAAATAAACACTGTTTTGTGTTTGCTTGTAGAAATTTAATCAGCATTTTGAACCAGGTTAGCTTTTTATTTTGTACTTAAAATTCTGGTACTGACACTTCACAGGCTAAATATAAAAAAAATGAAGTTTTTTTTTTGTGTGCACAATTAAAGTGGACTGTAAACTGTTGGTATATTCAGTAATACAGTTCTGAACTTGTAATGTATATGGCATGATGTATTTTTATCTTACAGAATAAATCAATTGTATATATTTTTCTCTTGATAAATAGCTGTATGAAATTGTTTCTTGAATATTTTTCTTCTCTTGTACAATATTCCAACATCCTACCAGTATTTGTCCTACAGTTTTTTCTGTTCTGTATAATAGTATCTAATGTTGGCAAAAAAAATACAAAAACACCACAAAAAAAGAATTTTTTGAAGTATACAGAGTGTTATGGGTTTTGGAATTTGTGGAAACAGATTTAGAAGATCAGCATTTACAAATAAAAATATTTTACATCTATAATTTACATCCTCTTGTTTTCATTGGAGCTCTCTCTTCTCTAGTTCTTTCAGGCTTTCAGCGTCTGCCTCCAGCAGGGAGAAGCGTTGGTGTTGCACAACCTGTGCCCCGAGCTGTCCTGAGCACCCCCGGGCCCGGCCCCCTGCGCGTTTGGTTTCCTGAGAAGGTCTATAAAAGAAAGATGACAAGAAAAAAAAGGCACCATTCTGCTTGCAGTGGTTTTGGCTGGGCTGTCCCACTTGATGACCTTGAGCTCGGCGAATGAACTGGGGGAGGAGCAGTGAGTGAGGGTTGATTGTGGCATTTTTCTTCTCCCGGTGCCGTGAGGGAGCTGCTCGCCGCGTGGTGGATGGACGCCTGCCTGTGGGCGACGGGGTAAAGCTTTTGCTTTACCTACTAACCCGTCTTTCATAGAATCATGGAATCATTTGGGTTGCAAAAGACCCTTGGGATCAGCGAGTCCAACCACTAACACTACTCTGCAAAGCTCAACCCTAAACCATATTCCCCAACACCACATCTAAACGACCTTTAAACACATCCAGGGATGGGGACTGAACCACCTCCCTGGGCAGGCTGTGCCAGTGTCTGGCTACTCTTTCTGTGAAAAAGTCTAAACGTCCCCTGTTGCAGTTTGAAGCCATTCCTTCTCCTTCTATCATCTTGTTCTTATCTTGTTCTGCAGCCATCTTTCTTTAGCAGGCTTTGTTTGGTTTTTTTTCTTTCTTAAATGCAAGTTCTGTGTTAGAACTTCTTCCAGATTGTCAAGAGCAGAGGGTCATGGCTCTTCCACTTTCTCTCAGCCCATGAATTTTAATCTTTAACTTTCACTCTTCCAAGTCCACAGCACTGCTGCAATGGGCTCACCTGGCACTGGAGAGCTTGATGCTGGAACATGGCTTTAAAAAAAAAACCCGAACAAAACACTCCAGGATTTATTCCAGAGAGGCTGGACCTGGCCAGGCCAAAGCTGGTCTCTAGGGTCAGGGGGCTGTACCGTGCAGGGGCTGCTGGCAGGCCCAGGGGCTGCCCTGCGCAGGACTGCAGCACGGCTGTGCCGGCGTTTGGGCTGAGCTGAAGTGGGGTGAGCTCGAGGCACAGCCCTGGCCCACAGCCGGGTCAGCACGGGGCAGCCCGACCTCGCGAACATGAGAGAAACAAGGCACAAAGCAAAGCTGCTGCCAGCCAGTCACCACCCACCTTCATCAAGAAGGAAATATTTGACACAAGCTTAAAAACAAGTCCCAGTTTCTTTGCAAATGATAGATTTCTCAGTATGACAGTGGCAACCACGCCCAAGACTCCAAGTGACCCAGGGAGGCGCGGCACAGGTCTCGGCTGAGGAGCAGCTGCTGAAGGTTGTTTTTAGAGACTTTCTTTGGTAGGAAGGAACTCGCTGGTGTCTAACTTAAGTACTCCTGGTTAATTATTAACGCTTTACCTGGGAAAACTTTCACTTCAGCCTATTGTTGTCGTGTGCAACTTGGAAGCCTGCTTACCTGGATCCTACCTGCCCAGGACTCGTCGCTTCCACAGCCGAGGGAGGAGGCAAGAAGCTTCACGACCGCTCGTACCTGCTCTTTGACTCCTCTCGCGTTTCTCCTCCCAGGGTGATGCCCTGGCAGGCGGCTGAAAGACCAAATGCAATCATCTGTCACAAGTGAAGTTCTTCTCCTCTCTGTGGGAAGATGTGGGTCTGTAACTACTCCCAATACGCCCGGAATGTCAGTAGCTGGATGCTGGAGTATTTGTGCAGTTCGGAAACGTTTCTGCCGCTCAAGCAGCTCTACAATCCCCAGGGAAGGCGTCGCAGCAGCGGGATAAAGGAGGCCAGCACTGCTGAGAAAAACTACCCTGGCTCAGAACAGCTTTTCTTTTCCACGAGTGAAAGAGTGAAATGAATGAACTTGGGAAGGGAAACAGAGAAGTGGAGGCAAAGAAAACAAAAAAAAATAGAGAAAAGTTATCTGTCAAACCTTCCAAGATGTGAGAGAGGAAGACCTGGCTCCAAAGAAAAGGGAACGAAAACAAGGGATGACCCAAATGGTGTGAAGGTTAGTTTGCATCACTCTCCGAGTTGGTGCTTTCTGGTCCAACAGCTACAAAGAATAAGGCCATACAGATTAATAAAAAAATGAAACTTTATTTTAAATGCAGCTACTGTCATGAGTCATCAAAATAGACTTTGTAATAGTTACTTTGTTTTAAATATGAGGTGACAAATGACAGCTAAGAATTTCAACTATGTGAAATGTCCTAAAATCGTAAATTAAAATAACTAAATTTAAATATTACAGATGACAATTTTCAGAAGATAAAAGGGAATAAAAATATTTTCCAGAAGAAGTAAAACAATTTGGCCAGTAAAACCATACTAAAAATGTAAATTAATGAGATACTGCACATGGAATACTTGAAGAGGACCCCCTTCAGTCGGTGTCATTGAAAAGATCCAGAGAGCTAAAATCTCACAATTTAAATTACCTTGCGCTAATAATTTCTCTTACTTAAAAAGAGTTCCGTGATGACACAGGATAATCCAAGGAACCGCTGATAAATTGCACTTCCACGGGTTGTCCTCCAGCAGGGCTGACGCTGTCACTGCCGCGTCTCAGCTGGGACCGGTGACTGCTGAGACCCTCTCTCACACACACACGCGCACACACACACACACACACACGGCTCTTCACAGCGGAGAACTTCTAACGGGTCCTTGCAATGGTTGGGCCGGCTGTAGCAGCTGAGGGCTCCTTGTAAAGCCCTCCCGAATGACTTCAAATCATGGCTGAAGGGGAATCAGGTCTTGGCTTAACGCTTGTGAGGCGCGTCCTCGCCGTCTCAGCTCTCGAAATGCCACTGCTGAGGAAGGGACCCGTCGCAGATGGCCATGGTGACGTACCCTTTGTGGCTAAGCGGATCTACCACCTTCATGCACTGCCCCACGGAGACCTGGTAGAGGCGGTTGTTTTTCTAGAGGAGAGAGCAAGACAGATGGGATTTATCTATTAGAACTTCTGTTCTGCTCCACCGTCAAGTTGAGACTGATGCGTAAGGGGAGGGGACGCTCCCTCCTGACAGACGAGCCTTTGAGCTGCCTCCACAACCCACCAGACCCACAGCAGCACCATTTTAAAGCCAGGTCCCAGCACACCCCATAACCACGTTCGGACCCTGAAACAAAGGCTCTTACGCCCTTGCAGGGACCCAGGATTTTGTTTGTACCCTACTCTCTTAACGAGGTGGAGGGATGATCAAAACCATTCTCCAGCGCTCAGCAAAGAGGGAGCCTGCAAGGACACCAAGTGGCACAGCCGGGGCCCTGCTCTGCATCTGGCCCGGCCTCAGCGATGCCACTGGCAAGCCCAGCCTGGTCAGGTGTGAAAAGGAAACAGATCCTTCTCCTCTCTGCACTAACAGCGTGTTGCAGCTGCTTTGGGCATTCCAGGGGCCCCTTTTCAGTCTGGAAAGGGCTCTCTGCACAGCCCCCCCAGCCTCTCCCACAGGCAGCAACCTCCTGCCCTCCACGTGGAAGGAGCAGGTCTGTGAGGACAGCCGCACCGGGCTCTGTGTCACTGCTTATGGCCATCAGCACGTGTCCAGTGAAGGTGGAGAGCGTGGCAAGAGCACACACCACTCCAGGACACCACCCCGCTCCGAGCCTTGTGCTGCAGCCAACACCACAGTCACCCCTTCTCTGTACGAGTGACCCACACGTTGCCCCTTGCCCCCCCAAGTCTTCACTCACCCAAAGAGTCCCAGCTTGCTCCCCTACTCCTCATGCGAAAGGTGCCCCACACCTTCGACTGGCCCCACCACCCATCTCTGAAGCTCCCCCAGCCCTAATTCCCTTTCTGAGAGGAGGCAAACTGCACGGGCAGTACAGCCAAACCACAATGGTGTGATGATGTTTTTCTGCTTTAGTTCCTATTCCTTTCCTCATCAATTTGACTCCTAATATTTGATTTGCTTTCTCTTGTTGCTGATCACTACCAAGCCCCAACCTGACGCTGTTCCAAACCCACCCGCACTGGTGGCACTGGCCAGCTCCAATCTCACGTTTCACAGATGAAGCCCAGATTCAACACCAGCACCACCACCGCCATCACCTAAGAGCCCTGTGCCCCGAGTTACAATGGCTGTTCTCTCAGCCTTGCTAAATTTTCATCCACTGACTCAAACTGAAGAACCCTGAATCATAGAACACTTTTGGCTGGAAGAGACCTTCAAGATCCAACCTTTGTCCTAGTCCTATCACCACCACTACACCATGTCCCTCATCACAACATCTGCCCTTCTCTTTAACACCTCCGGGGATGATGACTCAACCATCTCCTTGGGCAACCCATTCCAATGCCTGACAACCCTTTCAGTAAAGAAATCCTTCCTAGTATCCAACCTGAACCTCCCCTGGCGCAACTTAAGGCCATTTCCCCTTGTCCTATCACTCATCACTAGGGAGAGGACTCCCCATCTTGCTACAACCTCCTCTCAGGTAGTTGTAGAGAGCGATGAGGTCTCCCCTCAGTCTCCTCCAGGCTAAACAACGCCAGATCCCTCAGCCGTTTCTTGTACAACACGTGCCCTGAACCCTTTCCCAGCTTGGTGGCCTTCCTCGGTACCCTCTCCAGCACCTCAACGTTCCTCTTGTAGTGAGGAGCCCAAAACTGAACACAGTACTAATCTTTCATTAGCAGAGTTTTTTTAGTTAAAAAAACTGACAGCTGTGGAACTCTGGGTGCAAGTGTCAGAAACACACAACCCCCGGCTCACACAGCATCAGCCTCTGGATTTCTAAACTGTCGTCGAATGCAACAGCTTTCCTCATTCGACTCCAGAACTCGTTCGGCAACAAGCAGCACGGTACGAACCCACGACAGCTCAAGCAGAGCGGTGCTGGCTGTGTGACAGGCAGTGCTGGCAGTGCCTCCCTCCTTGTTCAACTGCCATGCCGAGGGCGTGTGAGGGAGCAGCCGTTGAGTTAACACCCAGGAGCCAAATTCACCCACGCAGCACTGGCTCAGTTCCGTGAAATCGGCCACTCCAGACTCTAAACAATTAAACTAACACAATGCAGTTACAGGGCAGAAGCAACTGCAGAAAAACTCCTCTGTCAGTCCCTCAGCTCTGCCCTGTGCCTCTTCAAGCACTAAGCAGAAATCACCACATGGACTGCTCCTGGCTCCCAGTCCTGCAAACACAACTCAACACAACCAAAAGCTGCGGGTGGATCTCTCTGGCATGTCCCTGTGAGCCACAAGTGCTGCAGACGGCTGTGACAAGCAGAAAAAAAGCAAAATAGGGCTGCAGAAACCTGTGTTACAAAGGAAAGGGGCTGCATGTCCTACAGCTCAGCAAAAGTCAGCCCCACCAAAGCCCATGCGACTTCTCAGCCTGGACTCTGGGCTGGGCACAAAACAGCACCATCAGCTGAGGTTTTGTCATAACTAAACTCAACCCTGATTTCCTGCTAATGCCATCATCACTTACTGAGACATTAATTACCAGCAAAATGCTATTTGCCAGCCGCTTCACTTACCCCGAACGTCCACTGCTGCGAGCCGCCGGATCCATGGCATTTCATGAGACGAGGTGGATCGGACGAGCGAGTTTCCGAAACATCCAAGCAAAGGAGATTATTTAAAATCAGCTCATGGTCTTCATTGTAAATCCAGACCTGAAAAAGAAGATAGAAAGATGATAGTTATCCCAGTGTTTCAGGGCAGGCTCCTTGTCCCTTGTCTTCAGCTAGAGAGGAGACACGTTATCACCCGGATGTCTGTGATGCACCCTGCAACACTTGCTGCCTCTCTGCTGCCTTTTTTCCAGCAACTGAAACGTGGCTGCAGTGCTCCGCTGCCTTCCCAGCCTCACGCAGCATTACCCCATGCAGAGGTGCTAAAATGATGGCTTGTGACTCTGCTCTGCAACCAGCACTTGTAAAGTTAAGCAGCCCCCATATGTCCTCCCATCCTGCCAGACACACAAGAGAAGGCGACAGGCATGTGGTGACCAGCTGCCCGCTGAGCAAAGTCACTAAGCCAGGCGGTAAATCTCCTTATCCAAATATGATCCTTTAGTCATGAAGGAGGATCGCCTCCGATCCAGGTAGAGAGCTGGTACCAGAGCCAGAGGAGGATGCTAGGCGACAGCAGATGGCCCAAGAACTGTGGGATAGTAGCTTGGCAGGCACACGAGGCCAAAAGGTATCTCCAGTCTTCTTTGAAACTGCTGCATTTGGCCATAAACACACAGGGATTTATTTAATGTTGTGCTCTGGAGTCAGCTTCTGGATGCTGAATGATGGTCCCAGTGTCCTACTCCTTGCAGCTGGTGGCCTAGTGATCTTCAGCTCAGAAAATGGTCACTGACAGCCAGCTGCTGTCGTAACGTTCCCTACTGTTCTCCAGGAGAGGGGAAGTCACTGCTTCACCATTCCCGGTCTGAAACTACACGCTCCCTAACTGGCAAGTTTGTGCCCTTCTCTGCTCCCCAGCCAAACCACTTCACTGGCCGTGCAGTGCTCAGAGGGAGAGCAGCCCTCCCACGTCACACCCGCTTCTGCTTTGGCTGAATCAACATGGAAATGTGTTAATCTGGACTTCAAGAACCAACAGAATGTCCCAGCAGCTCACACGGTGGTGGGAACTGAATTCAGTCCCTCTCTGGGGCCCATCCGTATAAAGCAAGAAAGTACTGGTTCACGTTTGTAGCTTCAGTTGTGTTTGGGTTCCTGAATTTACGGGACATTGGTTTCTCTGTTATCACATGGAAACCCATCATCACCTCTAATGAGAAGCAACGACACACTCAAGCTGTCAGTTTGCCCTCTCCCACATGCTACCTTAGCAGAAGCAAGTATTTTTATTGTTGGCACAAAAAAAAAAAAAGTGTTAGACACCTTTGGTTGGTGCAGTTCACACGCAAGCTACCGCTGGCTCTCACGGGGCTGCCTAAGCCTGGCTTTGGAGGAAGGCACGTCTGACACAGCTGAAGGTTCAGGGAAGCTGGATCACCAGTCTGGTTTAACTGCAGAAGCTGCTGGTCCTCCCTCCCTCCTCCAGGCCTGCAAAGACCTGGGCCAAGATCTCCTGAGCTCTCCTAAGCAACAGGTCACTCTGCTCCCTGTGCCAGAGAGCAAAGAACTGAAGGAACCGTGGAGTGTGCACCTCAAAATACCCCAGGTTAGCGTGGGGTAGGGAAAAGGAGAAGACAGTGTCTGAAAACTGCAGCTGTGCAGTGCAGAGGAGATCCTGAGACCACCTGGCTGAACTCCAAACCGCTGCTGCCCTGAGGGCACAGCAGGGCCCTGCGCCCACAGGGCACGGGGGCTACATCCCCCCACCCCGGTGGGTGCTGAGCAGGAGCCAGCACAGATCAGGTGGGTCTCGGAGCTGGGCAGGGCTCCTGCTCTGCTGCCTCTCCTGGGCCCAGGCCCAAGCCAGACATCCCTGCTCATCCACCTCGCTCCACATCATAGAATCATAGAACAATTCAGGTTGGAAAAGCCCCTTGGGATCATCGAGTCCAACAGCTGACCCTACACTACAAGTTCACCCCTAAACCATATCACTCAACACCACATCTAAGCGACACTTGAACACATCCAGGGATGGCGACTCAACCACCTCCCCAGGCAGTCTGTTCCAGTGTCTGACCACTCTTTCTGTGAAGAATTTCTTCCTAATGTCCAGCCTCTTCCCAATGTCCAGCCTAAACTTGCCCTGTTGCAACTTGCAACCATTCCCCCTGGTTCTGTCCCTAATTACCTGCGAGAAGAGACCAGCACCAACCTCTCCACAATGTCCTTTCAAGTAACTGTAGAGCATGATGAGATCCCCCCTCAGCCTCCTCTTCGCCAAACTGAACAGACCCAGCTCCCTCAATCGCTCCACATCAACCCCCTCCCCACAACTTCTGACCCTGTGGACGAGAGGGAATCGAGCCTCTCGCCACCACCCAAAGTACCTGTGCCTGCAGGTGCGGTCAGTTCTTCGGGTGTGCTCTTCTCCCAGCCCTGTTTGGACCTCACGCTGCCCAGTGCTGCGCTAACCACGGCCACTACACGATTTTCTATTGCTTTTTCCTCTGCTAAGTTTGCATGAGTTTCACACTCAGAGCCTAGACTACCGAATTCCAGGCAGGAAAGTCAGGCAAATAAAACAAATTCTGACTTTGTTTATTTATTTCTTTTTGCCTGATGAAACTACAGCCTTCTGGAGGGATTCTGGACACTGGCTCAGTTGAAGAGCCTGAATGAACGTCACACAGCTCGTTCATTATCACAGTGACTTCTGCAAGGCAGCAAAGGCCTCCTTTGAAGAAGTGCAGGTATTACATTAAAATTTGCCCTAACCTCAGGCAATCTCTGCCTTCTAACATACTTTTTCTGTTTAAGCTCTGTCATGAGAACATATGGCAAGATTAAAGAGGAGAAAATGGAGAAAGAACAGGGCTTGCCAGAAGAGTAGTATTATTAAAAGAAGAATAATGATGGGGCCAAATCCAAATAACAGATGAAACTGGTAGGAATTGCGAGAGAAGACTGCAGTGACACAGGGAACAGACCTTTAATCAAAAGCTGAACAATGGCAAAGAACACAAAAACAGTGGTTAAATCCAGTGTGATACTTCCCCAGAAAGGCTTATACAACGAGGCTAAAATTAATTTCAAACTAATTATGTGTTTGATGTAGAAAACAAAGGAAAAAGGAGAAAAAAGACCAAGTTTGGGACATAATGGTTCCAAATGCAGATTAGAGTACCAGTATGAACTTGCAGATTATTAACAGATTCAAGCACGAGGAAAGCAAAGCCACCCCCATGGGGATTTTTTGTTATATAATTGCAAGTCTCTGCTTACTCCAAAATTTATTAACTACTTTGCTTCTGAAGACTGGAAGGATGGTGCTTAGCTCTTTCTGGTACAGACTGTCAGGAAGAACAGCCCAGTATAGGAAGGAAACATCTCCTGGGAGTCAGCCCAATATCCAAAGCCCATAATCAAGAATGTGCCTGACCAGGATTTATTAACTCAGTTCTGAGTGATGTCTTGTTTTATCCTTCTATCTACTTTCTACAAAAAAAGAAAAAAAAAGGAAAAAGCCATTTTCAAAATTTATTTTATAAAAAAAGTAAAGTAACAGATGAGGTACAGGATATTTTCACCCTGCATCCACTTCCGAACACATAGGAGAGCATCGCTGTCAGATTTTGGTTTCTAAAAATGGAATTGTGCTCAGCTCCCACCACCTTTAATTGCTCTGCCCTAGAGACACACACTAACGACTGATCTGCTCCACGGGTTTAAGGAAAAACCATCGACCGTGTCCACTGGAGTCAAAGAAAAACACCGGGATGGAATTATAATATAATGAATTGCTTCTGGTTTCCAAATAAAAGCTAAATAGCAAATAGTTTGGAAAAACCTCTCTCCATAATGAAGTTGATCAAGTTTGTTGTTAAACACATGATTTAATTTGCTGAATGTTTTTCCCTTCCTCTCAACACAAGCAACGGGAGAAGAAGAAGGGTGCAAGGACCCCTTCTGAAGCACAGAGGCCCGTTCAGCTGCCCGCTGACCCTTCTGAGGTCCTACATGTCCCCCAGAAATGTTCCCCCAGGCAAAGCCTTTCAGATTCGGTAGCACTCGGCTGCCGGCCCAGGTCTCCCACCCATGAGGGTCAAGGCCCCCACCTTTGGCAGCGGGGCACAGAGCTCCTGCTCACACTCGTCCCGGTCGCAGCTGCTGGTTCAACGTCCCCCCGTGGAAACGGGACCCGCAGGCCTGGGGGACAAGTGCTCTCCCTGCGAGAGCAAAGCCAGCGCTCGCATCCTTCCCGTCACCCACAAGCGGGCACATGGCGGGTGCTGGAGTAGGTCTTGTAGACAAAATAAGTGCGAGGAGGTCCCAAGTACGAACTGTTATTAGTATAAACCTTTTTTTATGCAGGCGCAGCTGAGGAAGGACCTGGTTTTTAATTTAGTCCCTCTCAAAAGGCAGTTCAGACCATTTCCAGATTCAAGACTGAGGTTTCCTTTAGTACCTTCAGGATTTTACTGCACCTCCCTATAAGCACAAACAAATCACTCAGCCTTTTCCTGGATTGCTTGCTAAGGCAATTTCATTAATCTCATTTACATACAGACAGATAAGGAGAAACAAGGCTTCTCCTCACAGGAAGCTTAATGAACAGTTTCAGTGATGAGTACAGTTTAACTCCTTGCAAGGACAGTGGTGTTACATCGCTGAAGACTGGATATTAGAGCTTTTTTGCTATCTCATTTTATTAATATTTGGATTTCCTAACTGGTTTCAGATTGCCACTGTTGGTAAAGCAGACACAGTCTTCACTCCCTCCCTAAACCCCTATGTCCCAGTGATCCCCCTCTAGGACTATTTTTTACTATAATAAAGAGATACAGGGCTGTGCTACAGATTTATTTTTTTTAATCAAAGATGAAATTATTGCTGCAGCAAGATTAAATTAATGCAAATACATAACAGCTACCTGAAGTACCCCAGGGGAAATTCAAGTGAGGAAAGGGCTCAAATGGTGCCTCATCATCCAGGACGACGGCCCACACTGCCCTTTCCTTTGGAAACGTGGAGTTAACTATTGAATATTTTGAGTTCAGTGTCAATACAGACAACAGTATTAAAACAAAACCTATCACACAACCCAGGGAAAAACAATAAGTCAAAGAATCTGTAGTAGACAGAAAACGGAAGTGAATAAATGTTTCAAAATTGTATGTAATAAACCAGGAACAATCACCAAACCCTTTGGCTTTCAGCGTGCAGTAGGGTGTAGCAATAGGCATGGCTGGCCAACTGGCAATGTTTTGTGGATATACATCCTTATTTGGTCTGCAAATTGCATTAGTACTAGAGAAATGCATTGAAAAAAATCAGCAAATACGAGACAGTAACTACTACAGAAACAGCTCTTTGTGTAAAAGTAAATCCCTGCTGTGAACCATGCTGAGAGGAGGAGCGTTCCAGTACTTTCATCAGCTACAATCTCCTGCTTAGATTGGCAGTATCGCATTATTCGGTCAGACAGTTTCTAAAGGACAAAAATTCAGCTTAAGAGCACAAAAAAGCTGCCTCAGCACTGAGAAAGAGACGTGCCGAGCAATTTGCGTCACCACAGCGATTTGCACATACTTCAGCTCCTGTTATTATGGATGACGATGACATCACAGACCAAACTTTGCTGTCATTTGGTGCTGTAATTATTATTTTAAGCTATTTCTATCGCAGAAACACAATATCCTCCTGAAGGTCATTCCAAAGCAGATACATGCTTTCTGTCTCACCGCTCAGCACGCTGCTGACATTTGACAACCGTTTGTTAGAGGCACCGAAGAATTGTATTCCTCCAGTGGTTTACGGAAATGCAGCAAGGGGACTTAACTCACACTTTTTGTCACTCGAGACGTGCGGTATCCGAGAAGCAAACTAAGAGCCACTATCTAGAGGTTTAGGGAGAAAGAACTGCACATGTGAGCACATCCTCCTGGACTCTGACTCTCGAATGGTTTGCAATGTACGTGTGCTTGAATTTATCAAGTGCTGCAAGAGTGTTAACAGCTTTTCTGAAATTCCCCGCTCAAATGAGTTACCTTCTGCAGGCCCAGAGCACAGGCACACCTGCTTAGACACCTCAGCGCCAACGCAGCTTTTTAAAGCTGAATGTATCGCTATGTCAGAGAAAGTTTAAATTATTGAAATGAAGCAAACACAGAGGAGAGGTTGTAACAACACAGCAAGTTATAGCTTAGTCAACCTAGCATATTTGAAAACAAACTAGAAAAAAATCCACATAACTCAGTGGACTTTAAGAGATTGTTCTGGAAAAGGACTTGGCTTTAAGCACTTTGGTCAGGAGGAAGGCAAGCACCCATTAGACGCGTGACAAAGCAAATCTTTCAGCTGTTGGATCACAAACACTCCCACAAGTTCGTCCTGTTGCTGGCCATTATGCTTCATTCCAAAGCCTTCCTTTGTTGGTGTTCCTTTAATGCTTCTCTTCCAAGTTTCTCCTTTAGGGCAGTATCTAGCCTGCTTCAGCATCCTTGTCTTCCAGTCACCACTGAATCAACCTTGGCATGATGCTGATGGCTAGAAGTCACATCACGCTGTGGGGTTTTTACTTCCACTTCTCAGACATCTCCTTTCAGTATAATCTTTCAAAGTGCTCAAATATTTTCTATCCTCCTTCCAGACCTAGGTTTTTTTAGTGGTGTGCACTACCTTGTGCATTCTCAGTTTTGTTTCCAGAAAGGTCACACATACCTCTGAACTTCCAGAGGGTATTTATTTCAGCAATCCCTGGAGTTCCTTTAAAGAACCACTCTTCAACAACAAAATTCTCATTGCATGTCAATCTTCTGTTTGCAAACCTCATATTCCGTTTTCCTGCTTCTTTTGTTACTTCAGCCCTCTCCACACCAACCTTCATTCTACTAGATCCTGTCATCTCTCCTACTCGTGCAATTTCTAACTACAAAAGTTTTATCATTTATTCCCAAAGCTGTGTTCAATCCCCAGTATTACCCCAGACTACTTGTTACAATGAAACGTCCCAATTTTTTTAATATTTTCTAGATACATCACCTTTGTGAGAGAAACTTCCCTGTACTGCTTTTTCTTTCTACAGCAAAAACATGAATTGAATATTACTGTCCCGCCAAGTCCTAGAAAATAAGATACTTGGATGTGCTCGAGCAATTAACTTGACCTAATAATGATCATCTAAGTCGACTTCAATTAAACATATTACCCATAACAGTGATACAATTGCAAGTTACATAATAACTGTTATTCCTTTTAAATCAAGGAGTTAAGTGAGAATTTGAATTTTTTTAGCAGCCATATAGGCTAGAGAAAACGAAGCAAGCATAAACTAAAGGCAAAATAGGACTGCTTGCAAGGCCAGTCTCATGCCTTCAGCGAGTCTGGTTTCCCCCCACACCCACTTCTCAAGGTCAGCTCTCACATGCATGAACAGTTTCTATTGCATAGAAGACCATTTTCTCAGTCAGAAGATTACACAGAAGATCGTTTTCCAACCAAAAGAACTGCAATCAATGAATGTTACGGCAGCCCAGTTTCATTTTCCCAGCCCTTTGCATGTTTTCCCAGGTTGACTGCACCTTGCTCCTTCAATTTACTGAACAGCAGCGGATATTGTTCAAAAGCAAGTGTTATCTATTCACAGAGCAAAGCATCCAGAGAAAGTGACAACTTATTCCTGTTCCGCAGGGAAAAATTAGCTGGCGTCAAATGAAATCAGCACCAAGAGGCATCAAATTATTTCCTCAGACAGCACAGCTAAGCTGTGGTACTCACTGCCACACAATGCCAGAAGCTTACATGAGGTCAAAATACAGTTAGACACTCACGAGAAAGGAAAAATTCTAGAAAAATACCATCTTTGGCTCAGGAAAACATGAATACTGCTCACAAAGTGCATATTGTCATCTTCCAGAGTGACTGCCGGCACCATGTGCATCAAGCACACACAGAACTTGCTGCCAGCAGGCACCCAGGGGATGGGAGCTGGGAACCTGCCTCTCGCCAGGCCAGCGCGGGCTTTTGTGTCAGGGCGAAGGCACAGAACAGGTGGTTCTGGAGCAAAAGTCAGCTGAAAACACCAGTGGGTTGAGTGCTACCAGAAACAACAGGTAAAAGCTTCCAATACTCAGGAAGTTTCTTGCTAATTTTGTGACCAGGTGCTGCTCAGTGTCGTCTTTCGCTACGTCATTCTCACATATCTCAAGCAAGATTGTTCAAGAGGGTATGAAAGCAAGCTGGCTAAATGCACTCGGGATTCACCAGGAGAACAAAATCAGTCCCGTGGCAGTACTTGGTTGGAGAACAAAAATCACTGTGAAAGAAGACAGCACAGCCAGGTTTGGTTTTTTTTTTAAATGAGAACTAATTGTTTAATTTATCACTAGTAAACTAGATTCATGAGAAAAAAGCCACAGATCAACAATCAAAGCATTAACTTGGCTTTCTCAATACCAAAAGGCAAACTGAAGTTTCCATCTCCAAGAGAAAAATCAGAGAAAGGTTTCAATAAAGAAAACCAGCAGATTTCCTCCTCGAGCCATGTGGCAGTTCTCTGTTAAAAATATTGCAGGATGGAGATGGGAAACCATAAATGTGAGGATGCATCTGTTAGTGCAGACATCATTCGCACGCAGGCATTTTTACTTTCTCACAGACCAAATGTCTCAGAAAGCTGCACAGCACCTTTGGCACTATAAATGTGCAGTCACTGGTGCCAATCAGTTACCACTACATACACACAGTCTTCCCAGCTAGAAGACTGGCTGACTTTCTCACAGCTCATGGAAGAGATCATACAAGAAAGGCTTTGTTCCGATTGTGGCTTAAATTCATCCACCTTTAACACAGGGACCTACAATTTGGCCAGAGCGATGATCACTCCAGAGCAGAAGTGCAGGGATGTATTGCTTGGTCCCATCTACGTGGCAACTGCAGACCACGTGTCTGGAGCCAACCCCACTCACCCAGAAGCTGGCTACCACTGCCCCCCCCTTTCACGTTCAACTGGTGAGGCTCCATGTGGGAGGCAGGAACTCCCATCAGTCAGCAAAGCACATAACTTGTCTTTTCGGACTATCACAAATCATCCTGCTTCTCCCTGCGGCAGTTTCCATCTCCTGAAAACTACTGCCCATTTCAGAAAGCACCAAGTTAATCTAGCACCTTTGGTAAAGCTATGCTGCATTACATCCCATGCTCCATTTACTTTCTGTCTTTGACTACTTTTCTCTTTAGATGCAATCTAGTTTTCAGACTTGGGTCCCACGGTCTCTCCTAAATCATAAGGTTCTCAATGCAATTCTTTGCTAGGTAAGAGTCTTTATGGCATTAGGTGAAAATCTCTACCCTGGAGATTGTTTATCCAAGTCGTGAATTTATGCTGCCTGAAAGAAGTGGACTAGCAAAAGCTTCATATAGTAATATAAAAACTCTCATTCAAGTTTCACATCCATCCCCAATTAATCTCCAGACAAAGAATTTCCTAAATTCCTTAGGATTTCTTCTATTTAACGAAAATAACAAATGGTTCATTCTTCCCAAACTACAGTCGCTCCAGCAGCAGAGAACTAGTTGTACAGCACACAGAGAACAGCGGGCCAGGAAAAGGTGACCTTAAATCCCAGTAGGAGGAACTGACTGAAGGAGCTTCAACAATTCTGAATCATCCATCAGTGGATTATGAACCCATCAGGAGCCACTTAGGGGTAGCCTTCAGCCACACACAGAGATTCACACCATAAAGGTAGGAGATTCTAGTATCCAGCACCCCACACTAGTAGGTACAGAGCAGGAAGTTCCACAGTCTCCTCAGTCAGCCTCGCGGTTCGAACGACGCGCTGAAATCAGGCTGCTGGCTGATGAGATGTTACGTGAGGGCATTTTGCCAGCAGGAGAACATACTGGTAATTTGCAAGATGTGAACTGTTATTCAATATCATTAGGAATATCATACCTGGTTTTGATCGTTGTAGTCACAGTCCCGAACCACTACCAGGCCTCCTTTCTGACTCGGGTGGCCCTGGGCAACCAGGCATTTGTTGGTTTGAAGGTGGTACAACTATGAAAAGAAAACAGTTTGATGGACAGAGCAAACAATAAACATCACATACCAAAGGGAACATATAGCAAAGCTCTGGAAGCTCTAGAACTCGGTGTGCTCACCAAAAACCAAACCAAAACAAAAAAAAATTACCAAAAAGCCAAACCACTCTTGCAATAAAAAAACCCAAACAAAACAACCAAACCCCCTAACAAAAAAACCCACACCCATACCTTCTTAAAATAGCACTTTATTTTTTCCACTTTATTTGGAGAAAAACACAGCATTAAATAGTTCCCTTTTGCTTTCTAGTAACATCAAGATTTTCCTTTTTATGGCACACATACAGTACACACAACCTTGCTCAGCACATGCTGGCCATACTCGGTCAAGTTCCTTTCTCCTCCTCACTCTCTGGGTGAGCACAGTCCGGTCGATATTCCTGAGCTAGTGGGAATATTGACTGTACTGTATAAACTACAGTTTACTACAGCTTCGCTTAAACATAAGTGTCCTCCTACAACCTCTCTTCCTGAAGCAGGATCACGCCTTAGAGAAAGGAGAAGGAACTACTTAATACAAGCAACTTTAGAGATTTATGCTGTTTTCAGACTGATTTTCAAGAGTATTTAGGTAACTGAAAAGCCACAGTTATCAGCTATGCTATTTTAATGCTCATTCCAGTTCAAACGTACAACCTAGACTGCTGTGGAGCAATGTTGTACGACAGGGCTGGATTCAGGTCAGCAGCGTGTCCTGTGATGCAAAACTGGAAGCATTAAAGTTGACAAGGAGGTTCCTGGCAAGTTAGCAACCTCTCTCCTGGTTTGGGCGATGATGCCCACCCTAAATGTCTGCAGGTTTGCTGCAGAGTCTGAAGATTAGGTTGTTCTATACCGACAGACAAGAATCATTAAGATATTGATGTTACTCAGCAAAAAAACCCACCTCTATTCTGGCTTTAAATTCTACACATGCCCCGAACTAACTGGTGGCCAGCAGAAGACTTTTTCAGCCTGATTATTTTTAGTTCCCCTTGGTGGGGATGAGGCTTTTCAGGCAGCAGCAACCACTGCCTGCACATCAAGGACTGCAGCCAAGGGTACAGAAGAGAAGAGCAGTGGCCACAGCTCAGACGTTTCCTTCCTCATAGCCAAGAGACCCGGTCTCTGCCTCCGAGTGGAGATACCTGGGGAGGTGTTTGACAGTCAGGGCCCCAGATCTGGCATCCACATTAAAAATCATTTCCAATCTGGAGCTGAATGTAGAGGAAAGAAAGAATTTGCTGTCCTGAACTCAAGGCCAGGTTGATAAATTAACTAGCTGCATGTTATTATGAAGACCTAAAAGGCTGTCCCGGCCTTTGTATCGATTCTACAGATTTTTAGAAACCAAAAGACACTTCCGGTAATAAAAAGAAAGAATTGCTCTATCACATAATAGCAAAGATTAGAGAGTGCAAATACTAAAAAACAGTTCACTAAATAGCATTTCTGGGAATAGTTGTCTCAAGGCACAACAGTCTCAAATGCACCGTATTTCTCCTGTTCCCTAAGAAATGAATTACACAAGACCTTTTAAGTCACATTTCCTCACACCCCAGAGACTTCTAGGAAAGATCTCATTTTCATCATTCCTCACTCAAGAGAACACTTTCAAACCATAGAGCTACACGAGTTTTATTATGATTTTTGTCCTTGTTTTTACTGGCCATGACAATCAGCAGTTGATAACACTGTTAAGGACTGTCACAATTTGTGATCATTACTGCTCCTCCCAGCTGTCAAACCAGCACTTATCTCTGGCCCAATTAGTTTTTGAGAATAAGCTGGGATTTGGAATGATTCATCCCAAATCCTAAAGAGTCTGGCACATAATGGTGACATTGGCTGATCATTCTGTTCCTCGTAGGCATCTGGAAATAGTTTATAGAACCATCAGAGCCAAAGCTGACACTGACACAATGCTGAGGCTAATTCTTGAACCCCAGAGAACCAAGCCAAGGAACTGCATTTTTCCACGTCTTTCTCCCCCTTCTTAAAGCGTGCGCAAAGCGTTTCTCCAAATGAAATGATGGGAAATATTGCTAGGAAGATTTCCCCTTAAGTGTTGTCGAGGGATTCAGATGGCAGTCTCCGTCACATCAGCAATTCCTTAGTTAAACTTCTGTCTGAATTAAAGCTGAAAGCTATCAAACAAAAAAAAAAAAACAACAAAAGCCCAAGTAGGGGAATAACAGCATTTAACAACTAGGAGAATCAGCCCATGATATCAGTTTTATTCAGGGAAACTACGCATGTTTGCCCTAATAAGTAACTTTACAGCTTGGCTGGGATTTTATTACAAAAATATTGCACAAATTGTAGATTCCCACATAGCTGCTGCTGCAAAAAAAATAAATATATCTAACAATGTCAGTAATTTCTGCATGAACCCAAGTCCTCCAGCCTGAACCTACCTGCAAGACCAGCAACATTCAACAGCTGCTGCAGCCTGTTACCTTGTGGGGAAGGCTATGTCGCTATTTAGTGCTTCCAACTACTGAGCTAGGAGGGAATGTGCTAACCGTAATCTACGGGCACAAGAAATAGTTTATTCAAAGCTCTTCCCTTTAGCAGAGAAGATCTTGAGAAAGTTATCTTGGGTTTGAAGTTATCCATTATTTTTGTTAAGGGTAAAAAACATACATCAGATCAATTTAGCACTGGAGAAAACAGATGCAGCTGACCACTGGTTTTGCCTGCGTACAAGCTCATAAACATCGGTGTCGGAGGCAAAGGCATGAATTTAATCATTATTTCCTTCTTGAGTACACGTGAAAATTTCTCTCTTCTACTTTGAAGAAAAAAGAAGCAAACCTCATGTTTGTTCATTATCTAATAGTTAAGATTAGAAAAGCCATCATAGGTCTCAGATGCAAATGTTCATCTTTGCAGAAAATTATCCAGTAAAAGCAAGAGTTTGGAAACTAATTACATTATATTCTTATCGTAAACCAACAGAGCATGAATATTTGAGGCCAAATTTATCTCTGTCCAAATCCACCCTTGGAACCAACAGCCATGAAACCTCATCCTGAAGACAACAAAACTTTGTAACTCAGAGCACTGAGGTAAGAAACCTCATTGAATAGTCTCTAGTCTAAACGTGACTTGAAAAATGTATCAGTGAAACCGATTTGCCTTTGTCCAGAGACACAAATTTCATTATTTTCAAGACAGCTTGTTGTAAAACTAAAACTTAATGCTCTACGGAAACAGACTATTTTTCTTGTATTTGAGCAAATTTTTCAGAAAAATCTCAAAATAATTAAAACCCCCAGAATTCTGTATTTTTAAGAAAGTTTCTCTTACCCTTCCACGCTGGATTATTTTCGGCCGTTTCTGTGCTCTATTAATAAAAACTGGCTGTGGAGCTTTGGCATTGGGCCCAGATACTTGCATCTCAGGATAGATATTATCTAAGTACCACTTAAATGACTTGCAGTTCAACCTTTTTCTCAGTTCTATACGGTCGGTAATATTTCCGTAGTTCCTCATCCTTAGCTCGGGTCTCAAAGCAAAATACTGCTCCTGTAGTTAAGAGAAACAGGTTATGGGCAAGGAGAGAAGAATTTCAGATTATCGATGTTCCATTTTTTCCTGTTTGCAGAACTCACCAAGTTTCATTTCCTTTTTTTAGTGCTTTCAACCATTAAGTTTGAACCTGGCATTAGGAAATTCCAGTGTTTAGGCTGCCACAGGAGGTAAAATTTGTCTTCCCTAACTCTGAGCTAATCTTTCTAGACTGATTTTTTTTTTTTTTTTTGGATGAAGACACTTCTTGTGCAGGAACGTGCTGACCTTTTTTAGATGTCGACTTGAGGAGGACACAAATGAGCCCTACACTGCACTGGTAATTAAGGCATCCTAGAGTCACCAAGTCAGAAGAAACAGATGTGTCTATTGTCATCACTCTCATCTGGCAAAGGTTTCTTTAAATTAGTTTGATTGTCCAATTGATTGTTCTCATTGCTTTGGGAGTTCAAACGTATTTTGAGTTCCACAGTTTCCAGCCTCTCAATTTTACAAAGTACCAGAGCAAAAAAACTCCACATCAGAATAGACTTATAAAGGGGACTATCTTGTGAAGTTCAGTGGGACCATGCATGCATTCACATGAAGAAGCCCAGTTTTTCCCCTTTCATCTGCATCATCTCTAGAAAGGCTCCCACAACGTTCTTTTTTCAAGTTCTAATTTATGATTACACTTGGAATTGTACTTGGTTAGGCAAAGATGGATTAAGATTCCAGCTCCATCTTCCGTGCTGTTCAAGCCGAACGCAGAGACAATGGGGACAGATGGGAATTCACAAATTTACAATGGGGCATGAATATTATTACCATAACTAGATAAAAAAAATCCCCTTGTAGAGTCTTTAATTCCAGCTAGATTTACCGAGCTCGTAGAAAAAGCACCTCATTTGCACAGTAACTTGTTTAACACATATTGTTTAGAAATCAGTGTTCAGGGCACTGAGCTAAGGTATTTTGTTGGATCAATCACTAGTAGATAACTGGAATTTACTTACTGTAATATAGTTGTATAGAAATTGTAGTGACCACAGGAGCTGGCCCCACAGCAAATTCTAGCCATTTCCCATTACATGCTGCTACCTCTGATATTCAGATAACAGACAGTGTCATCTCAAGACAAATTACACATCTGTCCTTATCAAGGTCTTTGAGGATTTGGATGAGCTTGATGTATCACTGCTGTTTTAACAGCAGAGGCAGTGGAGGCATTAAGTACAGCGGACTGCTGGACAAGGCTGAGGAAGTTTGGAGACAGAGAGGACATCAACATCAGAAATTTGTCTGCTTCAAAAAAGTAGCTCTACTATTCTAAGTGCCTCTTTCCTGGTTAAAGTTCAAATTTTAGCATCCTACCATTTCTGCATTATTTATTTCCACTGTATACATGAACCTCTTTCTTGTACATTTTGCTTTTGGCAGTTATGAAAAGTTTGCCGTTCCCCTTCCATTATGCAATTTTATTCATTACATATTGCTATTTGCTCTTTGCTGCAAAACAGGCCCTTGAAGCCTTATCTTTGTACTATTCATCATACAATCACTTCAGTAAATTACATTGGCCATCAATATTTGCATTACACTTACAAAATCAAAAAAAAACATCCAGGCTTGCCTTCCATACATAAAACTGTCATAATGACAGTCTCTGGCAACTATCAGAGAATCAGATTAGAAACAGCTAGAAACATTTGGGACATAAATCTGTGATAAGAGACTGCTAGAATCATCAGTTTAAGTCCTTGTTGGACAAAGCAGTATTCACTGGAAATTATAACAAAGGATCAATTCCAGGCTTCAGAGAAAGCCATCATTAATCACAAAACAACTGTGCCCAGACACCAATAAAAGGGAAAGTGATAGATCAAATCTACCAATGAATCATGGAGATGGAGAATGGAGATAAAAACTAATGACCCCTAATAGGTTCCTCAAACTGACTGAACATCAAGATGAAGGATGGGGTTTGAAAAATAAATCTCTAAAGAATATAAAGTTAATAAAATACATCTTGTATAGAAATTGTAGGGACCACATGAGCTGCCCACACAAATCCTATGGTCTCACAAGGCGAAATGTCCTCAAGTATCACAGAGATCAGGTCTTCACAAAAACCCCATCTGCATTTCAAAGCATCAGGACCAACAAGACAAGGAAGGAATACATCACTTGCTCTCAAATCCAGAAGTTAATCCTGACTGATCTTCCACAGTAAGAGAGACTCAGCATCGAGATTGCCAATTAAAACAGAAAGCAAACAGCCAACGAACCAAACCCTGTCTCACCAACATGGAAACTACCAGAAGGCAAACAGCAGCATCTGGCTGCCGTGTCATACGGATTCTGACACAAAGCAACGCAGAGCTTACAAGAACCCATTCGTCATCTTTTACTTAATTAAAAAGGCAAAAAAATGAATCTCCTGCAGGCAGTAGAAGTAGCAGGGAAGACACTAGAGCACTCAAACTCAGCAACAATCCTACAGAATTTAGGAATTCATATTTAAATTAACATTAGGAAATCAAACTACAAAAGGACGGCCCTGTTAGAGATGCTAATAGATCCCAGTGGGATACTTTGAGAAGAAAGCCAGTTCATAGTCCTATTTCATGACCTGGAATTGTCTCTTACCTTATATTCATCCATCCACACATGTGCCAGCCTCAGCGAGTTATGAGCCATAGTGTCCTGTCCCCCTGGTGAGCCATAGGGACGTCTTTTACGGAAGATGTGTCCCACCCTGGAGCAGGGGATGATCAGAAGCCTACCCCCACACATCCAGATCTGTGCGTACAAAAGCAGAACAGCCTTCAGTGCACACACACTGACAAGGCTCACAACCTCCTCGCCCACTTCTTCAAGGGATACTTGGGTAGGTTTATGCGTTATGAGGAGATTAGGCATCAACAACGTCATCCTATACGTCGTGCTTTCTGATACATCAAATTCCTAGGTCTTTAGGTTAGAAAAGACTATTTTTGTCATATCATCACACTTCCCATGTACCACAACATGGCTGTCACAAAAATATTAAATTTTCTAAAATTTAATAATCTATTAGAAAACACAGAAATATATGGGCTGAGATTCAACTTGCAGGTTAAGATACTTAATTACCGACATGAGAATTACACATCTGCACTTCCATGATAGATAATGAAGATCAGTCAATAAACATCTTTTCAGCTAAGTATAAGCACCTATTTTACACAGCTGTTTATTTCAGTTAAGTATACAGGAACTCAGAAATACTGTTGATTATAGATGCTAAATTTTGGGGCCTTAACCCAGCTCCACCACGTTTCAGATCCAGATTTCATTTACACTCTTGTTCCATTTAATTTTTTTAAACTTCCTTTCAAACATCAGCTTCCAGCAAATTATCACCATTTGCCCCTTGTTGTACTAATGCATTCTCTGATCCGAGAAAAATCATCTCACACTAGCAGTTTATCATCAAGTCACTTCTAAATGTCCTCCTGGATAAGGTAAAGACTAAACTTCTTTACAGCTCTCTCCTGGAAAGACAGGGCTTCCAGATATTATAAAGCTCTCTGAATATACTCCAGCTTTTCAAAGTCCTTTCTAACGAAACTGTGCACTATACAGTAACAACAATAATCTCCTCACACTCCAGAAACTTCTACTCACATAGCTAATAATTACATTTGGCACTGAAAATTTGAAAGATTTTATTTATTCAGCACATACCCCTTTAAAGTCACTCAAATTCATGAAATGCTAGTTCTTATTTTTAACCTCTGATCTTGATTTCTCTAATGACTCAATTTGACAGATTTCTCTGCCAAAATTTCAGGGTTGTGTGCTTGGTTTTGGAGTTGAGGGTTTTTTTAATGTTAACTTTCTAATGCCCTTTTCATATTCGTCATGATAGCATTTAATTTTCAGGCAGTGTTCTTGTCAAATCTGTTGACGAATCCACTTTACAAAAAGTGGTAAACATGGCACTGAGCACAAAAAGTTGTTCTTCTTTCAGTGGAGTGACAGGCAAGACAAGATAAAATAAAGGAAGCTCAAGGAAACACCACTTTCAAATCTCCTGCTTATTATTTTTCCAATCAAGTTGACTCCTCTACATGACTTTTAATTTAGTTACAAAAAACTATTCACATTTCCAGGCCCTCAAAAAAGGACCTAAGGAAATATATAATAAGTTTAACTATCACCACTGTTTTAAGTCACACATCTTTTTAACCCACCTGTGAAATTCATTAGATATTGCTTATAAATTCATTTCAGAAGTCTGAATGCCTACTCTTTCCTTATGCCTCTCTGTAGGTTTGTAGGCTCCACCAAACAGAGAAAAAGCCACAAACATTTAACTGCAGCTCTCAAAAGTCTCTTTAATCTTCCCATTGAAATTCAACTTGAAGATTATTGGAAAGGCAGTTACTGAGTGCTGAAGGCATCCTTCCTGGGAATAAAAGTACCGATTTCTGTGTGCAAATAGCTATTCCAGTGCTAAAGAAACCATACATAGGAAAGAGGGGCAGCCAAACACTGAGGTTCATGCTCCAATGCAAATAAAAGCTAGATTACCCGAAAAGATATTTCCAGATTTTCTCCTCCCCAGATGTCCATGCCACTGTCATACTGTCCAAGTTCATTGAAGTACTCGCGATCCATGGCAAACAGGCCTCCAGCCATAGTAGGTGACCTAAAAAGGAACATTGAAAAGAAGTTCATTTTAAAAGAAAAAAAAAAAAAACACAACACAGTACGTTTAGCTGAATCTGCTAGTCCCGAAGTTTAAATTTAGACCAACATAATATAATTTAAATCCTGCAGACACTAGAAATCATCATATCACACTTCTAGTCTCAAAATATTTTCAAAAGCAGATCTGCAAGTGGCATCTGTGATCTTCCATTATTCCAGTATCTATAAACGACAGTTCTTCACGTAGTAAACCTGAGTAAAAGGGATAGGACAGGGAAAAAAAAAAAACTGTTTCCACATGAACAAAACTAAGAAAAGTAAAAACTTGTGCAAGTTTGGAGTCTACCTACAGTGAAACTCACAAGCTGACTTTAATTATCTTTACCAGAAGCTATTTCCCCTGAAGTTACAAATGTGTACACTTGTACACAATAATGTGATCTTCCTCCTCTTACAAGGGCAAATTATACAGACCAGGCTTGACTGAATTGCAGAAAGAAGAGAATCCAGAGCACACACTACTTTCCCATATTAAATTAGGTCAAGAAACAAGGCCCAAATTTAAATTATACCAGCCAGGAGGCTGCTAAAAGAAATGCTGCACTGTGTCATAGCTATAATTTCAATACCAGGAGCAACACTGTTTCATCACTGAATCACAGAATGTTAGGGGTTGGAAGGGACCTCTAGAGAGCAGTTTATTGCTCAGTTATTTTCTGTGTGTGTATTAGCACAGATGTTCTCTTTGGCATTTCCCAATTTTCCACCTTGCCTGTGTCTTACTAGACTAGTGCTTTATTTTGTAAAAAAATCTGTACATGATCCTCATTGTACAGTCTCTACACTGAATTGCTACTGTCACAAAGTTAGAATATGTGGATGTCATAGAAGAGTATATTAAAAAAAACCCAACAACAGAAAACCACTACGTAAATATGATAGTAGGAACATAAAACAGCTTAGGAACAGGCTTTTCCTCTTCCTTGTTAATAAAAACCTGTGACGAAACCAAGTCTAAGTCTGAATTTCCTTGCTTGGTCTGATGCAATTCTCTACTACAGTTTCTGTCACTTTAAAAACTGGGCTGAAAGGCTGCACTTAGTTTTTCCATCCTGACTCCAAAAAAATCTCATTATAAAGATCTCTAAACATGTGAAACATAAGACTTTCTATTTGATGCAAAGCCATTTTCAAAGGTTAAATAGCAATCTAGCTTCTTTATCAAAGCAGGTACAGACTCTGAAGGAGGAAAAGTCACTTTCATACACAGAAAATGTAATATTTTTAGATTATTAGACTCCCTTTAATTAAAGTTCTCTGCCTTTTCGATGGTTTTTTTTTTTTTTAAAGTGAGTTGAAATGAGAAGAAATGCAACAAGTGTTCAACATAGCAAGAACTAACCTTCGGGCATTCCCCAGATAAACTGTGAAAACAGTTCTTAAAAAGAAGTTTAAGACTTTCTATGCTGGCTCCCCATTCCGATTTTCCCAGTCCATCCCTCCCCTTCTAGCTGAGAAGCTGCCACAGTGACACTTTCCAAGTAAGCCAGTCAAACTGTTAAGTAACTTAAGAAGTTTCCTGGCTTCTCAGACCAAATCCTGGATGGGTAGACGTGGAAAGAATAACTGCAGAGCTGTCAGATGGCAGCAGACAACCTTGTGCTGGAGCTGCTTGCATCAGCCTGAAAGGCTCTTCATTTACTGTCCAAGGAAAAAGAATGAGAGAAAGATGAGACGGCCCTAATTCTGATTCATTTTGCCAACCTCACGGAAGTACCACATTATCTGCAAGGAGTCAGTTTGTAAAAAAACCAAATTCTGTAGTGAGACAGATGCCTGCAACTAAAAGAATCACAATCAGCTTCTTGCCATTGTTTGAGCTGCTCTGGGCCTCCTCAGGTAGGGCTCACACTAGGACAGCTTCTATTCTCACGTCTGAACCAAATGTGTCTGCTACTGAAAAAAAACCAACTGTGTACTGGCATTATTTTATAACAGTTACGTGTCCAGTAGGAAGCAGACATTGCCAGTTCCATACAGGTGAGACAGCCATCAGTGGTCAGAAGATTAAGGCGGGTAACTTTCAAGTTGTTTCAGAACAACTCTCAAAAGTCTGCAAAACCAATATGGACAGGCTTCCAACAGACAGTTCTAGGCATTTGCTACACTGTACAAAGAGACTAATCCCATTTTAAAGATAGTTTTCACATCGACGTGTGTTCATTAGGAAGCTTTATGACAAAATAATTTCTTGTCTAAGGAAAAATATAAATTAAATCTAAAGAAAAAATTACGTTGACATAGAAAATTACCATATGCTCTGATGTTTTCTCCCATCAATTAGGTAATTACCTTCCTATTGCCACAAAAATATATTTTCCCAATCTAGCGATTCTCTAGCATCTCATCATAGAAACTATAGAGCCTAAATTAGTGGGATATGCAGCCTATGGCTAGCACAAAGTCAGTTATCAAAAATCATCATTAAATCAAACACATTGACAAACTGGGAACAAACATCAACACAAAGCTGCTGTTGTGTAAGTGTTCTCTAGATGTGTGCTTTCCTGACCTAGTAAGACAGATACATCTAACTCATGAGCAAATGCAAGAGATTAAACTGGAACAGGCAATAGGAACCAGAACTACTTGTAGGTAAAATAAACAAGCCAGATATTTGACAGGTTAGGCATCTGCTTCTAAAACTGCACACCCAGATAATACTCTAACACTTCAGAAGTGCTTCTGAACATCCATATGTGACACAGAGCTTCACATCACGTAGGAGGAACCTTACTTGATCGGGGCAGTGGCTCCCTCGGGTCCTTCCAGTTCTGACAAAGGAACAAGATCCCACTTAAAGTGCAGGCCCCAGTTAAAGCCTCCACGAACAACCGGCGAAGAGCTGTAGGTGAGCGTGTCAGCACTGATTATGTCAATCACAGGGCACACCACGGTCCTGCGATCTTCTCTGATGGGAGTCAGCAGAGGTTGTAGCCACATCTCGTTCACCTCGCAGTGACTGTCCAGGAACACGAGGACTTTCCCTTCAGAGGCCAAAGCACACAAAACACAGAGGTCCACGGTGACATGAGGCACACAAAACCACGTGCCATTATGTCGGCAACACCCTCAGCACCCTGTGTGACAGCAGAAAAACACCATCTGCACTGGGGAGTGCTGACACACCAGAGATTCCCTAAGGATTAATTCAGTCACAAAGGCAGAATGCAGATCCTGACTACGAATTGCTTGAGTGGGCCATTATTTGCATTTCTTTGACAGGGTTTTATAGTCATCAAGTTTTCTAGCCAGGTGCAACAGAGCTCCTGTACTTGAAGTAAAACACCACCAGACCGGCACTCCATGCAGCCCTCCCACGCTCAAGTTCAGACTGCAGAGCCAGCCAAAGATGACAGATACTGGGCTGGATGAATTATCCCCATGACAAAGTTGGTTTTGTCCACTGATTGTAATCACCTTGGGCTTGCTTCATATCACACTTCAGCTTCCATCCAGCTACTGTTGCCGCTAAGATCTGTGGATGTTAAACCAAACCATTCTGATGGCTTAATCTGCATTCACTCATGACACAGGCCACAAAATTTCAATTCCTGCATATAAAGTAACATAGAGCATCTCATTTCATCAGCTCTACAGCAACTGTCGATTGTAGATTCATTCCAGTTTAAAAGGAGAGTGAGTACTCTAAACAGGCATAGCCAAATCCACCAGTGTTAGAGCCAGCAACACTCCGGTCCCATCAGTTTACATGAGGATTATCCACCATTGTCAGAGAGGACAGTTTAATCCAACAGATTCCTTCAGGCTCAGTTGGTCTAAAAATTCATCCGAATTTTTATGATGCAACATAAAATTTACGTAGCATTAGAATAATGTGGAAGAGATGCCAAAGAGATTTAAAGAAAACAGCTTTGACACATACAAATATAACAAGTCATCCATTAGCAACAGAGAGTTGAGACTGAGAAGAGAGAAGGAAAAAAGATTCCAGCAGTTCAGAAGAACAATAAAATGACTTAAGATTGCACTAACTGAAATGAATCCTAGCACAGCTTGGAGAATGCAAGCACAATTTTCTCTCTTGATTATGCCATTACAATGCTAATGAGTAAACAGCAATTAAGAGATTTTATCTGCCATTCAAAATTATTTCAGAAAGTAGCACATACTTTCTCAGATGCCAAAGAATTTAACCCGAGGCGTATTACAGTAAAAGGAGCACAGTGCACATAAAGCATCAAATATTATTTATCCCAATTAACACTCACTGCAACAACAGAAAGGCTTGTATGAGAAACATTACAATTAGACTGGCAAATTACAAACCAGATTAGAGTGTGCCCTAATAAGGAAGTGGATTGCCATTTTAAAGCAATAGTTTTCACGTGAAACATGCAGAAGATATTCTGTGAATACAGTATCTAGTGCAAATGGAAACAAAATTCTTTCAGGGCAGAAACAGGGAAAATTCTACATTGCCTCACTAAATTTTGTCTAATACTGGTTTTGCTTTACTATTTCACTGATCCACTCTAAAAAATTAACTCATTTTATCGAAAGCAAACTTTCACAGGAAAAAAAAAAATCCAACCAAATCGACAGTTAAGACAAAGTTTAAAAGACACTCAAATCTGGTTCCAAATTTGTGAAGTCATTGCTTGGGTGACTTGAAAAAAACACAGTATAGATTTTCTAAAGTTAATTACAAGCTATAATAACAGTGAATTTATTATGCCTACTCTATATTTACATATAAGCAAGTACCAAGTCCTCCTTGCTTCCTTCTCACTGAATAACAGAAAAACCTCAGGCAAGGACTAATCCAGTAAAGCTATGACAAAATAATGGAGAAAGCTTTATAAAGACGACAGTCAACTGCATGTTGCAAACATTTAGATATACAGGTAATACTAGTTAAGATCTCCAATTATCATTACATGGGTATCACTGAAGACGCTTTGTGTAGCTGTTATGACTGAGGTCAACAAAAGAGTCAAAGATCAATGCAATTAACTCAAAAACCGCTGATATTCTGAAACAATTGCTAAAATGTCTCTCACTTCAGAGAGCATTATCTCAAACCTTTCTATCCCTGCACTCAGCTTAGAACATGGCACGTCACACAAACCCCCTACAGTGGGCTAAAGCAGTCACAAGGCAAACATTCAACATCTGAAAGAGCAGCACTACAGAAAGAGAAGTCACCCGGTTAGTACATGGCCAAAGGATGCAAGGAACAGAGAAAAAAGGAAGTATACCTGTGGCATGAGAGGCTCCAATCATTCTTCCTCGAATCAAACCTTCCCGCTTCTCATTTCTTACTAATTTTGTGGTTTTTGGAAGCTGAGTTTTAACATATTCACCTAAGTCCTTCTTCAAGTCAGCTGAGAAAAGGAAAATACAATTTCAGCAACAGGATGGATTATGAAATCTTTGTTCATAGTCCCAAGATGTTCAACACAAAAAGGGCCAAAAAGCTATCCCACTATGTCTTTGAACCAAAAGCAGTTAAAGGACAGTCAGTCATTCCACATCCTACACCTGCCTTCCAATTCCTGTGGCCTTTTTTTGTTGTTTTACTCACACATTTTCGTATTAACAGCTTCATTTTTTCCTGCTGCATTGTGAAACCCCTCACAGACACACCAGGTATGTACCCTGAACTGAAGGTGACAGACACACCATGACTGGGTCTTCTGCAAGGCAAAT